AGAGAGAGAGAGAGAGAGAGAGAGAGAGAGAGAGAGAGAGAGAGAGAGAGAGAGAGAGAGAGAGAGAGAAAGAGAGAGAGAGAGATATATATAGAGAGAGAGAGACAGGATGTGTTGTGGTGATGATTCTCTTCCATCCGTCTGAGCAATTTTGGTATTCGGCGTTAGTCGCCCTTGTTCTTTTTTTATCGGCATCTCGGATTTTTCATTTTCCTTGCTTCCTTTCTTCGAAGACTGACATGTGGATTGTTTTTCCCACTCCCCGTCTCTATCTTTTTGAATCGGGAAATCTGATTGATTGGTTACTGGCGATCGAGCCTTGATCTCTGGGCTGATTGGCCAAAGAATTGTTTCATGATCCACGATTCTTTATGTTTGTATGTAAGCCAGATGCATGGTTAATATGTGTGATCTTGTCTGTGTGTAAATTAGATAAGCATGCTAGACTATTAGATGACCGTCTTATTATAGGATGATCCATCCCACGAGACTTTCACCCATCTGATCGAAGGACAGGTCCCGCGCACGCATGTGTAGGCTCGACCAAAGACGATCGCTGCCTACACGCGCATCTGCAAAACCTGAACTCGATGAATTTCCCGAATGGCTGGTTTTCCACCCCGACTTGCAGCATAAATTTCGGTGTTCCCTTTCATGTCACTGACCGCGAGTGTTTGAGGGATCGAAAATTTCAGGAATATTAGGAGCACTTTTGTTTGTATGCCCGACCCTGGGCGGAACCACTAAAATTTCCCTACTTGATAAGGGAACAAACGTATTCGCGAGTGGGACCTCGACCAGGACTTGGGACGTAACCCCCATCTCTCCAGCTTCTCTAGCCCATACACGTGTCATGTCCTTACGGAGCCCGGAATCACTATCTTAGGGACCGAATTCCCTCTCTATCACCGCATCCTACCCTATCACTCCCTAACCATGGTCCCCTGGTTCGCAATCGCTCCTTATTGGCCTCAACCCTCGTGCTCGGAGTGTCTGCGGGACAACGAGTACCGAGCCTCTGGCTTCATCCGGCGAACTCACTCGGAGGAAGAACGACGGGCGCATAACCTTCGATGAAGGCCAACCACGTCAGACTCGGAGACTTGCGACATTCGACGTCGGCATGTGACGAATCAGCGGGATAGCCATAGCGTCCCGACAGTGCACCAGATACGACTCCGACCCGGACGACGGAACCAACGAAGGTGGTAACTCCGTTCCCCGAA